CACACACACACACACACACACACACACACACACACACAGATCACAGTAAATCAAAAAACTTACTTCTAACTCTCAAGTTTCTTTACAAAATACAGGTCTCCAGACCTGCTGCATTTTTGCAATCATCCCCCACCTCCCATCCCCCAGAGTCACAGAAGTACAAGGATCAGCAGCTCCTCTTTGAAGGAGGATGAACTCCAGGCTCTACACAGGGCTGGTGTGGCCATGGTGAAGTCTACTGCCGCTATGAACGTTACTCTCACTAACCACTGACGCAGCACTTTGTTTCCTAAGACTCTGCCTCCATCTGACCCCAGGATGTTACAGAGGTCAAAGTAATGAAAAGGAGGAACTTCCTTCTCTTTGTTCCGATTTGACATCATTTTCCAAAACCTCAAGAGAAAAGTAAATACAAAGGGCATCACCTTCGCAAGGCTGGGAGCTGTAGTGTTTACCGAAGGCTTTGTCTTTGGGGATGTCGGGGTAGAGGTACTTGAGAGGGTTCTCGGGAATGTTCTCAGCCATGATGACCTTGTAGTCCCGCAGGATGTCAGCAAATGGCAGGGCCGACAGACGCCCTTTGTTGTAGGGTTCTACGGAGTGGAATCTCACTTCTCCTGAAAACACAGAGACTGGGACATTTCTTTGTGGTCGTTCCTCTTACCCACGGTCTCTCCATAGCTAAAAGGCATGAGCTCGTGAAGTATGGCCAGTGCAGGCCGTATGTGTGATGGAGGGTGGCAAGGTGGGCTTTCGGAATCCACAGGTACCCAGTTACACATGGGCCAATTGGACCAACTCACGCCCACACCAACAAGTGAGTGTGGCTACATACCGTTTTCAGAGTGGTCCACCCAGGTGAAGGTGATCCCTCCGAGATGGCTCTCACTGAATCGTAACAAAAATGTCCCGGGCATTTTATCCTTGAGCAGAAACCTCTCCTTCTCTTTGCTCACGAAGCCCATGATGTACCTAAAATTAAAGCATGGGCAAGACACGGTCTCATCTGATTATTGTTGCATCTTCATTTATTTCATTCATGAATAATAGACCTAGCTCTCACATCATTACATAATTCATATATATTGGACAATACGTGCATATAGCATATATGTACATTATAATAGAATATATAATACTATAGAATAGTCTCTGAAGAAACTACAATTGTGTTTTTCTCCTAAATACACTTTTTAAAAAAAATGGAAAAAAGATAATTAAAGCAGAAAAAGGTATTCATATGAACAAGAGAGCCTGTAAACTCACCCATCAATCCAGAGGGGAAGAATGTGTTTTTTAATTAGGTCCAATATTGCTTCAAGCCAGGTCCAGAAGGTAAATGGTTTGCCAGGCAAGTGTTCCTATCAGGAGAAAAACACACACATGGACAAGGACAGTGACTGAAGCCGCACCCTGACAGAACTAACTTTGACAAATGTTCCCTGTGAGCAGGACAGGACTTTCTGTTACAGCCGCCCTCATCCAGGAACTCCTCCAAAACATAGGTAATGACTGACATGGAGCCTTAGAAAGCAGCATCATGACCAAGAACTTTCTAGACGACACCCCCACTGCCATGTGTACCTTGCAGAACTTGGCCCAGGTGAGGTGACCATCGCTGTAGTTAGACTGAACTAAAATGAAAGAAAACAATTAACCACAGTGAGACTTTTCATTCTGGGCTTGATTTAGTCGTGTGTCATCCCGCCCCCCTAAGCATCTCTCATGGACTTGCAATGGAGATACAGAGTCTGAGTGCTGTGGAGGGTCTGATGTGTCATCCTGGTGCCTAAGAAGTTCAGTATCTGTAAACTGCTTTATGAGGGAGGAGCCCACAATGGCTTTAGGAAGCTCATGAATGGCGGGATGAGCTGGCTGAGGGCTAACGGAAGCCACTCCAGGGAGGAAGGACAATGGAGGACATGGAGGACGAGGAGCTGTGGGAAGAGCCTGGCACTTACTGGGAACAGGAGAAACAGCCTAGGGCGGCGACTTGCCCGTTAAAATGAGAAGAGCGGACTAGAAATCATGTAGGTAATAAGCAGCAACAGCTATTTTGACCTAGAACACTGAAAAGATTACTACTATAGAAAGTCTAAGGAAACTCCATGTCTGTGGATAACTTGATAAAGACCCTGAGATTACAGCTGCAGTCCATACTAATCTATGCTACTGCTAGTAACAAACTAGTATATTTAAAAGCATTAGCTACTCATTAACAAAACTTTACCAATAGTTATTGCTGCTGTTTATGAATCCAGGATAAAAAAAAAATACGTTCAGTAAGTGTTTAAATTGTCCAAAAGACCAGATGTATCTGAATGCCCACTGGTGAGCCAGAAGGTGCCCGTGGAATGCCCACTGGTGAGCCAGAAGGTGCACGTGGAATGCCCACTGGTGAGCCAGAAGGTGCATGTGGCAAGCAAGCCAGCATCACCCGAGCCCGTCTGCCGCCACGGATTCTGAGCAGATCGGCCTTCGGTACCAGTTTAGCTGCAAAATGCACACACATTGAGTGTGAGCTCTCCCTGGTGCCGAGGGCGCTCGCTGGTCAAAATTCAGGTATCTTTAAGGAACTCAGGCAAAGCTTAGACTGACATCAGGACATGAAGTGCTGATGACATCTGCAAAATCCAGACACCGAAGCTTCCTTAATGTGCAGAATTAAGTCATTGCTGGTGTGTTTAAACTTCTGTTACAGTTCCTGGACTTGACCCAGCGTGTTCCAGCTGGTTAACATCACCCTGAAAGCTTCACAGCATGTTCAGAGGAAGTGGTTTAAGCACTTCTGGAAACCAGAGTGTGAGTGGAGAGGAAGGAGCACGGGCCTGGCTCACAGTGTGGCTCTGCTGCCTCCTGGCTGTGCGGTGAGGCTGTGACCCCTGAGCCTCAGTGTCCTCAAATCAAGACACTACTGTCGGCCCCAAGGAACACCGTGAGAATTAAAAGTAAAATAACACTTAGCCCTGTGCCAGCAACACATAGTAGGCATTCGGTGAACTGTGACAGGCATCAAACTTATCAGCAGTAGTGACATAACTGCTTTAAAACACCCAGGTGCCACAAACAGGCACACCCTCCGTGCCAAGCAGCTCTCACCTGTGAGCTTCTCTGCCAGCATGTTGAGCTGGTCTGAATTAAGGCCACGACCAACATAGGATGAAAACTGCCAGCTCATCACTTCCAGGAGTTGACTCAAAGTGACAGGCGGAGGATTATTAAAGAAAACCAAGTTCTGAAATAGAGTCACGGTGATCGTATCTGTTAATCACATGGGGAGCATCACATTGAACACATCGCAGTCTTGATTTAAATTCAGGGTCAAGTGAAGTCAACAATACAGAATGTCGATCTCTTCAGTGCTCTTGTTCCTTAATATTATACAACTTGGGATCAGTCTTTCCTGACAAAATCACTTGACATTGCCCAACATTCTCTGGACTGCCAACTCAACTAGCAATCAACTTACACAAGTAGTTACTGTAACTGGACAGACAGCCTTCCCTGAAATACTATTCAACTTAAACATGTTTAATTGGCTCATCATGAAAGAGGGCGTCCAACAAAGATCACAAGACAAGAAGAAGAGAAGGAAAGTGAAAGAATTTCTAGGGACGAGGTTTTCTCCTTGAGAAGTATGTCTGGAAAGTGACCAGTGAGGGCAGAGTCTAATTAAGGCATGAGAGCTTGGAGTTTGAAGGAACAGAGGGTTAATAAGTCAGTGTTAGTTGCTTGGTATGGTTTCGTGAAGGGGCTGTGACCTCAGTCTCCAGATCTTTATGCTGGAGCCAAGTTGCTCTGGGAGGGTGCGTGTGGTGGCCTTGGCAGCTTCCTAGCAGAATGTTGCTAAGGAAATCCAAGTGGGGTGCTGCATTGAAGCTGGAGGACAGAAGCACCTCACTTTCCTCCCATTCCCCAAGGATGGAAGAGATGAGCAGACATGTAAAGTGTCATTTAGTGCCAAAGGCTTTTCTTGGTCTTAAAGACTAAAGGATTATCCTGTAGATTCGTTGGCCCAGGAGGAATCTTGGTCCCCAGCAGGCTTTCTCTTTGCAGTTGATCTGTCTCAGATGCCCAGGCATCTGGGGATGAGGGTGAACAGGGCTGTATGGTGATATTGTGTTCCCCCAAAATATTGTGCACCCTAATAAATTTATCTGGGGTCAGAGAACAGAACAGCCACTAGATAGACAAAGAGGCCAGAAAATGGTGGCACACACACCTTTAATCCTAGCCTTCTGGAGGCAGAGATCCATCCAGATCTCTGTGAGTTCAAAGCCACAGTGGAAATAGCCAGGCATGGTGACTCACACCTTTAATCCCAGGAAGTAATGGCAGAAAGCAGAAAGGTATACAAGGCATGAAAACCAGGAACTAAGCTGGTTGAGCTTTTAGGCTTTTGAGCAGCACAGTTCAGCTGAGAGGCATCCAGTCTGAGGAAACAGGATCAGCTGAGGAACTGGCAAAGTGAGGTGGCTTTGGCTTGTTCTTCTTCTCTGATCTTCCAGCATTCACTTCAATATCTGGCTCCTGGCTTTGTTTTTATTAATAAGACCTTCTAAGATTTGTGTTACAGGGCTGAGCTATTGATCTGTCTCAGATGCCTGGGCATCTGGTGATGAGGGTAAAAAGGACTGAGCCATTTTCAGAATATTCCATTAAAGGGGAAAGGCACAGAAAGAGGACCCATTTAGTGATCAATTCTTACAAAGTCACCCAGTGGAAATAATTCTTCTGGTAGAAACTGATTTGTATAAAGAAGGACGGTTTTATTTTGGCTGTTTCTTCTGCAACACAACACACAGTTTGGAGTTTCATTTTCTCTGTCTTAAGAACAGAGCAAGAGGGAGTGTGAAATAACCTTTTTTTTTTTCTTTACTTTTCTCTCTCTTCCCTGGTTTTCATCTATAATGTAAAAAATCTATAATCACTGGCACAGTTTGGTTAAGTGACCACCAGATGGCACTAACATCCAGCCTAAAACTTAGGCTCAAATCTATACCTAATCAACTGCAAAATTTGTGCTGTCAGAACTCAGGCAAGATTGATGGATATCCTGGTTGCTTATTTGGAAACTAATTCTGTGCCTTTCTAGAAGAGACTGAGAAAAAGTGTGCTGGGAAGTTAAGGCAGTCAGACATCATGTTCTGACAGCAATTAGACAGAAAATTCTGGAACAAGGTGTTTCCCTGCAGTCCAGTTAGTGTAGCCACAGGACAGCCTTAGAACTCATAATGATGCAGTCTTGGGGCCGATCAGAACTCAGGAATGGCCAGTACCTGCCACAGTCACTATCCAGAACCCTCAGAGTACAAGTCTGTCAGAACACACAACCTCCTCATTATTGTTATAATTAATTTTGAGGCAGGATCTTGCCCAGGTTTGACTCAGACTTGCTTCAAATCACAATCTCCCCACCTTAGACTTCCAAGTGCTTGAATTCTAGATATGTGCTATCGTGTTTGGCTTGAGCAAAACACCTTAAACGTGACCTCACATCAGCTCCAGCAGAACCCCTTAAACATGACCTAACAGGACTCATACATCTAGAAAAACCCTCACCACCACCACATGCACATTGTTGAAAGAAAAAGTTACATAGGATGAGAAATAGAGAGACAGGAATAGGAACTTTACCTGGCAATCGTTGGTTGACACATTGTACCAAATGATGGATGCCCAAGCATTAGGCAGTTGGCTGACATTAGAAATCATCACCACAGGTAATGAGCTTGTCTAGTTAAAAAAAGAAGAAGTTTACAGGTAGTCCAAACTTGCATTAATACTACTCTTGACCTTCTCTTCTAGAAGGCCATTTCAAATTAACCCCCTTCTTCCAATCCTGGTACCCAGGTGCCATGTGAATAACTTTTGAGCACATACAAGCTGGAGTACAACAAGACAGGAACCCTTTTGCCCCTGAAGCTAGCAATCAGGCAGTTTCCTCAGTATCTTCCTGGACATTGAGAAATGACTATACTTCCTTACGTCACACAATGTCCCAAATACAACCAAAGTGGCTTTAGTGATGATTTTAAGAAATACTAAAAAATTTGATCTGAAATTTACTTTGGTAATGAACCACCATAATCAAATTATGACCCAGTGCCTAATTAAAGTCCATACTGGAGAGTTGCCCCATGGGAGCTGGAGCTGCCCATCTGCTTCTGCAGAACAGTTTCATACCATCGCTGGTGCAGTTTTCTATCCTACGGAGTAAACAGGCGTTCACAGACTAGCCTGGGAGGCTAATCACTGTACACTAGTCTCTTCCTAATAGACACAAAGTTCCTGTGGCTCGTAAATACCCAGGAACTGAGGAACCAAGCAGCTTATGGAAGTGGTGGCTTAGGGGGAAGATGTGGAGGATTTTACACACACTTGAATGCTCAGACAAAAAGGAAAAGGCAGAATCTAAAACAACACAGTGAAGTAGAATCACTCTCAAGATACCTGAAATGGAGCACGTTAGTGGGTACACTGATTTGTTTATTTATATATATGGGGCCTTTAGCATGTGCTAGGAATTGTGTATAGATAACGGCGTAGAAGCAAAGCGTGGTGCCGACTTTAAGGAATTCATAATTAACGTGTTCAGTGTAACACCCCCAAGGTTTCTTTATTCTTAGAGTTCAATGGCGACTGTTAGATGATCATAAAACAAACAACGTACCACCAACATTCCTACCACTTTCCTCTGTTCGTCACAGCAGAGAAACTTGCCAAGAGATTTTAGTATGTAACCTAAATTTTTGAAAATATAATACTCTATGATACAGCTCTAGGATAGTTATTTCTCTAGGATAGTATTTCTCTTTATGCTTTCTATTAAGTATTTGTGACTCAGAAAATAATAAAAATGTGTATAACAAATTGTTCAACATCTATTGAATTCATGATGGTCATGAACTTTTTTTTTAATCGTTTTTATTTAATGATGCCAGAATGGCATCTTAACTACTTAGTGGACATTTGCTGCACTGTTTTTCTAAATAATATGTGAAGAATAGACAAAGCCTGGACTGACTGGGCTTTCGTTGTAAATGCTGACTTGCTGCTGTGATTGTTACTAGTGAGTAGATGTTTCCTGCAACCCTTACCTCCAAGTCGATGGTGAGGCCATAGAGGCAGATCTGGGTCTCAAAGGCTATGGAATGCAGCTCCTCCGTCACCATGTGGCAGCCCTATGAGGGAGACACAGGAATTATTTTCTTACAAATGCAGCTTTTCTATTAGAGATCTGGCAATTCACAAAGTGAGCGTCCTCAAAAGTTCCATATTATTGTTTTAAAATAAGGTAAAGTTAGAGAAATCTTCTTTCCCACAAACAATGATTTTCAGTTTCCAAAACATGAGTTCTTGCTTTTAAAACTCTGGTATATTTTCAGTAGTTGAAATGCAAAGTCATTTTTTATTCTAATTCTTGAAAATTAGTCCTTTGGATTTGCAAAAAAAAAAAAACCTAATTAAAAAAAGCCATGTATTAATGAGCCTATAGAAAGAACTTATAATCTCATAATGAATTGATTGGAAAGAGAAATCAAGGCCCCTCTGGCTAAAGATGGCATATGAGATACATACATTTTCCTCTGTTTGCTCCAGAAACTTTAATAAGATTCCAGCAAAACAAAATTGTCATCTAGATTCCCAGAGAGAGGCAGGGAAGTGTGGAGAAGCTGGAAGAGGTTCAAAGCTCTTAACTGCTCTGAGGCTGGAAAAGAGCCCAACAGGCCAGCTTAGAGTCCTGGCCACGCAGAGACTTCTACACCACTCCTTGACCTGGTCAAGTGACAAGAGGTTATTCTCAGCGCAGAGGAGTCAGTGGAATTAGGAAACCTTTGCATTCTGGGTAGAGGACAACTTGTGGGCAGGGGTGCTGTGTCGAGCTGAAGGGAGGAAGATTCTGTGAGAGTCTGTGGTGAAGTCCAGTCCCCGTCTGCATTTGACATCAGGAAATATACCTTGGATGTGGACCAGACCAAAGGCAAACTCACAAATATTACTTTTAGGGAGCTGCTCCCCAAGACGGTCAGCTCTAATAATTCATCCTGATTCTGCGGACTCACCATGCACAGGGGACTTCTAAATGGGCCCTGTGGCCTTAACTGTGAAACAGCAAGCTAGTGACCATTAGATATTTGACAAAGTCTCTCACATCTGAAATACAGACGCAAAACAAACAAACAAAAAACCAAAACCAACCAACCAAACAAAAACCTTCTGAAGAAAATACAAAGAACAAACAATTTTTTAAAAAGTAAAAAATGTACACCAGGCTCAGTTGGTTCAACAAATAAATGACAAATGACCCCATTGTAGTGAGTGAATATTGCTACTTCTCTGTGCCAAGCAACCATGTAAAGAATCCAAAGATGCCAGTCATAATGGATAATGAAAAGCCATCCCCATCTCCATCACTGTACATTTTCAGAAAACCAGAGATTGAATGGGAAGTCTAAGGTTTCAGGAGAACAGAAATGAAGTACTATTTGCAAGTGATTGAGACTCAGAATATAAAGTAACCAGAAGGCAGTTTTTTTGTTTTTTAATTCTGAAGAAAATTATTTCCAGCTCAGTATTCTATACCCACCCAAACTACCAGTCCAGAGTGCCCACAGAAAGTGTTCTAGATATGCAAAGCCTCAGGAAGCTGGCTGCCGCAACCTTCTCTCTGAAAGCTATTGCGAGAATTACTCTAATAAAATCAAAAGAAAGAGTCAGCTAAGAAAGAAGAGGACATAGACCTAGCCAGAAGAATGGGGAGGAGATCCCTAGCAGAGAGATGGAAAGAACTTTAACACAGAAAAGAAAACCAAACCTCCAAGCAAGAGCAAGCCAAGTAACAATTGTAAACAGAATTGGACGGCGAACAGGCAGGACTGGAGGGAGAAATTACAGTCCAAATCGGTTCAAAACTGTATTTTTAAATAACAGAAAACTTCACTAGCCATGAGTATGGGGGATATAACCATGGAAGAAAAGGAGAAGAGAAACACTCAGACTGACATGCTTGACTGTAAATGAGGAGCTTCTCATTCTGATGGAAAGTTTGGGGCTACATGAGTGACAGGTTCTTAATCAAGCAAAAACTCAAGGAACTACTATATCCAGAGAAAACTAAAAGCAATGTGAGAACGGGAACGTAATCATAGTGTGCAGCTTGACTCAGATGTTAAGTTTTACATCATTGTGATTACTTTGTGTAATATTATGAAAGTAGAGGGAAACCTGTATGTACCAATACTTCCCAGAAAAAGGTCATAATTTAATCCTGTATTCAGGAAAGAATTTAGGAATTTAATACGAAAAATTTAAAAACTCAAGAAATACCAGCATTATATTAGAGCTCAAAAAATGAATTCAAAGAGAGGAGTTCAGGTGCGAATACCTGGGAGAGAAATGGTCGTTTTTCTCTGATGACACCCTGCAGTACTTCGCTATGCCTACAACCAGCAGACCTGTCATCATCCAGAAGCTTACTAGAAAAATGGGGTGTCTAACTCGGGCTTACAGAAGCAGATTTTGCATTTTAACAAGAACTACAGGCAGAATTTTGGAAGCAATGATTCTTGATGTGGTTCATTAACATTTGATTTAGTCTCAAAGGGACGTGGGAAGTTTTGTGACAGAAAGCTTAAATCGTTCATAAAGCAAGCCTAGGAACAAGTGGGCAGAAATGGACTTGTCTAAATCTAAAAGTCAGGTGAGTTCTCAGAGGAAAGGGTCACCCTGGGAGAAGTGGAGGAATAACACTGAGTATCAATAACAATTCTGGATCCATTGTATTAATTTTAAAATAATAAAAATTAGCCACCTATGATATGAATAAGAATTGCATGAGAGAACTTTAGTAATGCTGATCATGTTAAACTTAGGATGTGTTATTCAGAAGAAAGCACAGAGTGAAAAAGTCTCCTCTTTCCAGGGCTACAAGGTTGTTCTATGCTTGATTGCCCAGATACAGTGAAATTGGTGGACTTAGTCCCTTTGCACTAGGTTATGGGTAATGTGTAGAAGTATGTGTAATAAATGCTACTTGCAAATTCCTTAGACAACCACTGAAAGTATTCCTAGTACATGAACACACCAACTAGCCAATTTCCCTTCTCCACACAGCACTGAAGTCCATCGTTGTCCTTTTGGTTGAGCCTAAGACCAAGTAGCTGGCTTCTAATGGGGTTCCAACTGCATCAAACTACTTTTACAGAAGAGAAAACCTCACTAGCTGTGAAGACAGGTGCTTATACTGTACAAGCACATCGCCAAGATGACTGGGAAACCTAAATTGTCATTTTATGCTCACAAAGGGGTGGTCTTCATTTTATTTTTTTATCCATTTCAATAGTAGATAGGAATGTGCAAATTATTTGAGAAGTCTCCAGCAAGCATGCACATGAAAACCCAATATTAATATGGTTAAATATTTGATAACATAAATCAAGTTAACAAACTGTTACTATATGGTCTAGCCTCCTGCTATGACATTCAGCCTTCGCCTAACTTAACTGGCCAGTTTGACAACCCAGAGTTCCACTCAAGAACATGGTGGCATGGCTAAGGCACGGCCCTTCTGGTCCATGGTTTCTCTTCCATGTCTGTGAAGGGCCTCAAATGGCGATCATGGTTCCCAGGGCTTTCTTTGCACCTAGAAAGGACCTTGGCTCTACAGGTTGAGAGGCTCTAGTTGGAAGAGGCCTTCCTGAGTTGGAAGTCCTACAATACTGTGACATAATAAATACACATGTGGTCTGTAGCATGAGTCTTAAAAGGTTCTTATTAATAAAATCAAACCTGAAGCAAGGTACTGGGGTCAATGCTGGAAGATCAGAGAAGCAGAACAAGCCACAACTACCTCACTTTGCCAGTTTCTCAGCTGATCCTGTTTCCTCAGACTGGAAGCCTCTGAGTTCTCATCTGAATGGATCTCAGCTGAGCTGCTTCTCGAAAGCCTGAAAGCTTAACCAGCTCTAGTTCCTGGTCCTCACGCCTTATATACCTTTCTGCCATCACTTCCTGGAATTAAAGGGTCTTGTTACCATGCCTAGCTGTTTCCAGTGTGGCCTTGAACTCACAGAGATCCAGATAGATCTCTGCCTCTGGAATGCTAGAATTAAAGGTGTGTGTGGCACCATTTTCTGGCCTCTATATCTAGTGGCTGTTCTGTTCTCTGACCCCAGATAAATTTATTAGGGCGCACAGTATTTAAGGAACACAGTATCACCACAGTGGTCCCTGTCTCCAGTTCTTGCGATTTCTAAGGCTTTTAGAGGTAGGTGCCCGAAGAGCCCTCTGTTGTTTGGTTTGGTTTTGAGACAGGGTTTCATCACTAGATAGCCCAGGCTGATCTAGAACTCTCTATGTAGACCCAGTTGGCTTCCAACTCACAGAGATCTACATGCTCTGCTTCCCAAGTGCTGGGGTTAAAGGTGTGCGCCCCCACATGAGCCTCAAGGTTCCTTTGTTCTAATATTTGGTCTTTGACTTTGTTTCCTGACACACACTGTGCAATGTCTTGAGTGATCAGAAGTTCGGACTTAGAACTCTTAAATCCTTTGTGATTTTTTGGATAACAAGAGTATCTTTTATTCTGATGAAGCGACTTTGGTGGCTTCTAGTCACACTTCCAGGATGGGGACTGGATGCTAGGGTTACTGACCATATGATTAGAAGTTGGAAGTTTCAGCCAGGCGGTGGTGGCGCACGCCTTTAATCCCAGCACTCGGGAGGCAGAGCCAGGCGGATCCCTGTGAGTTCGAGGCTAGCCTGGTCTACAGAGTGAAATCCAGGACAGGTACCAAAACTACACAGAGAAACCCTGTCTCAAAAAAAAGAAAGAAAGGAAGGAAGGAAGGGAGGGAGGGAGGGAGGGAGGGAGGGAGGGAGGGAAGGAAGGAGGAAGGAAGGAAGAAAGAAAGAAAGAAAGAAAGAAAGAGAGAGAGAGAGGAAGGAAGAAAGAAAGAAAGAAAGAAAGAAAGAAAGAAAGAAAGAAAGAAAGAAAGAAAGAAAGAAAGAAAGAAAGAAAGAAAGAAAGAAAGAAAGAAAGAAAGAAAGAAAGAAAGAAAGAAGTTGGAAAGACCAGCCCCAAACTCTGAAGAGGAGCTGAAGGCTGCATTATCCCCAGTGGCAATGACGTAATCAACCATGCCTACTTAATCCTTCTGTGAAAAACTCCAAAGGACAAATT